CTGGGTGGTACAAACAGTTAACAAGCTTGGCTGGCAACCAAAAGGTTGGAGGTTGGGGTCCACCCAGAGCTGTCTTCAAAGAAAGGTCTGGAGATCTACTTCTGAAAAACTAGCCATTGAGAATCCTATGAGGCACAGTTCTCTGACACACATGGTGTTGCCATGAGTTGGAATTGACTCAATGGCAACATTTTTTTCTTAGGCTTGAGAATCAGAAGAGAGAATTGCTTGCGTAATGGTCCAAGGAAAAAAGATACCACCTCGGAAACCCAAGGAGGGGTCAGTATGAGTTGAATCGACTTCATGGCAGTGAGTTTGGGTTTGTTTTTGTTTTTTTTTTTTAAGAAACTACAACTGTTTTAGTATTACCAAAGCAGGGGTGGGGAAAAATTCCCCAAACTTAGAATATCCAAGGTAGGACAAGCATTATTGACTCTACCAAAAGCCCCACCTCTTTCCACTGTTCTAGTCTATCTTGATTTATCTTATTACCTGTCTGGCCCATGCATACATTTGAGTTTGGGATCCCTTACCTCTGAATCAAAAACGTTTGCAGCAATACAGTGACAGGGAACTGCCAGAAATTCAAGCTGGATCTGGAAAAGAATGTGGAACTAGGGATATCATTGCTGATAACAGATGGATCTTGGCTAAAAGAAGAGAGTACCAGAAAGACGATTTCCTGTTTTTTATTGACTATGCAAAAGCATTCCACTGCGTGGATCATAACACATTATGGATAACATTGTGAAGAATGGGAATTCCAAAATACTTAATTGTGTTCATGAGGAACTGGTACACAGACCAAGAGGCAGTCCCTGGAACAAAACAAAGGGATACTGCATTTAAAATAAAGAAAGTTGTGCACCAGGGCTGCATCCTTTTACCATGCTTATTCAATCTGTATGCTGAGCAAATAATCTGAGAAGCTAGGTTATATGAGGAAGAATGTGGCATCAGGATTGGAAGAAGACTCACTAACAATCTGTGATGCAGATGACACAACCTTGCTTGCTGAAAGTGAAGAGGACTTGAAGCACTTACTGATAAAAATCAAAGACTATAGCTTTCAGTATAGATTATACCTCAACATAAAGAATACAAAATTCCTCACAGCTGGATCAATAAGCAGCATCATAGTCAATAGAGAAAAGATTAAAGTTGTCAAGGATTTTATTTTACTTGGATTCACAATCAACACTCATGGAAGCAGCCGTCAAGAAAAAACAACATATTGCATTGGATAAATCTGCTGCAAAAGACCTCTTTAAAGCATTTAAGAACAAAGATATCGCTTTGAGGACTAAGGTGCACCTGACTCAAGACATGGTATTTTCAGTGGCCTCATATTCATGTGAGAGCTGGACAGTGATTAAGGAAGACTACAAAAGAATTGATGCATTTGAATTGTGGTGTTGGGGAAGAATATTGAATATGCTATGGACTGCTAAAAGAACAAACAAAGCTGTCTTGGAGGAAGCACAGCTGAATATTCCTCAGAGGCAACAATGGCCTGATTTTGTCTTTCATGTTTTGGACATATTGTCAGAAAGGACCAGTCCCTAGAGAAGGACATCATGCCTCGTAAAATACAGGGTCAGCAAAAGGGGGGAAGACCCTCAATGAGACAGTTTGACACAGTGGCTGTGACAATGGGCAAAAGCATGATTGTGAGAGTGGCCCAGGACCAGGCAGCTTCATTCTGTTGTGCATAGGGTTGCTATGAGTCAAAATTGATTCAACAGCACCTAACAACAACAACCACCTCTGAATCTACACAAGATTCACTCCAAACCATCCAGTGCCTTGAATCATGCTCTCAGTCATTGTTTCTGCTATGGGAGGAAAGGAGTCCAGCTCTTTGGTCTATGAAGACCAACCTAGTGATAGGTCTTACCCACCATAAGAATTGTTCACATACATTTAAACAAGGGCCTTTTCCAAAATCTATTAGTGGTTGCCAAGGTAGGAAGGAGAAGGAAAGAAGAAGTCATTGTTTAGGGGCAGTGAACTTTTGTTAATGGTGATGGAAAAATTTCAAAATGGATGGTTGCACAACATGATGAAAGTAATTAATGCTACTGAATTATGTTGAAATGACATTGTTTTTGGTTATATATATTTTTATATATTCACCATGTTTTGTTTTGTTTTTAAAAAAAGGGGATTATTTTTTTCCTCAGGGAAAAAAAAAAAGGGAAAGGAGACAAATATTTATTGAGGTCCTATTGTGTGCCAGGCACTATGCTAAGTTCTTTACAATATTAGGTCTTTCTATGAAAGATGATAGTAATTTAAGAGGTCACAGGTATATGTATGAAATTAAATATATAATTTATAAAGCAATTTTATGCACATTGAAATATATTCCTTTGTCTATTAGAATGCCCCTTTAATGTTCCAAATAAATCAATTCAAATAAATATTGAATAATATTAATTGAGGGTCACTTAGGTGTTAGGTGTCAGGGCTACACGGGAGATACAGAGTAGACATGAGCCCAACCTTGGGTTGTTTACTACTGTGGGTTCATTGCAGCACAGACAACCAATCTCTGTCTGGTCCTCTCAGCCATCAGAGTTAGATAGATCAGCCAGGGTTGAAGGAAGTCTTTGAAAGAGTAAGTCAGCGTTTGTAACCCTGGTAAACTTCAACAGATTTCAGATGTATTTATAGATTTAAGATGGTTTGGATCAAGCTAACCTTTCTCCTTGGGAAGAAATTCTCAGTATTAAGTAAGTCAGTAGGAGCCCTGGTTGCACAGTAGTTAAAGTGCTCAACTGTAAACCAAAAGGTTGGCAATTGGACTCTACCAGCAGCTCCACAGGAGAAAGATGAGGCAATCTGCTTCTGTAAAGATTTATAGCCTTGGAAACCATATGGGGCAGTTTTACTCTGTGGCATAGTGCCTAAGGCATTTGACTGCTAACCAGAAGGCTGGCAATTCAAACCCTCCAGCCACTCCTTGGAAGACTGGGCAATCTACTCCCATAGAGATACCTCCTTGAAAACCCAAGGAGGGGTCACTATGAGTCAGATTGCTTTGATTCACAATTAACTTGACAGCAGTGGGTTTGGTTTTTTGGTAAGTAAATCAGTTAACATTTGCTGGTGAAGTTGAACAATTGTTGCTTTCCCAGGATAATTGGTTTAGGATTTTGAATACCTTGTAAAGCTGATTTGCGAAAAATAACTTCTTGATCCTCATAACAGAACTTGAGCAACAATTGCTTTACTTTTTCAGGCTTGCAATTGGTGTGAATGAGATAGGAGCTCTGGTGGCATTGTGCCTAAGGCATTTGACTGCTAACCAGAAAGCTAGTGGTTCAAACCCACTAGCCCCTCCTCACAAGGATGATCAGGCAATCTACTTCCATAGAGATACCACCTGGAAAACCCAGGGAGGGGTTGCTGTGAGTTGGAACTGACTTGATGGCAGTGAGGTTTTATTTTTTTTTCCTTTTTTTTAAATAGGATAGAAGGATACTTATTCCTAAGGAAGAAGGGGAATCAGTGCTAACTTTGACTTCCTCTCAGTGGCTTAGCATAGTGCTTTAGGCATATTGTTGCTTAATAAATATTCATCTAAAAGTATATCAGTCAGGGATCTATATCTTCACCAATCTGTCCGAGAGAAGCTATCAGACAGCCTGTATTTGTGGGACTGCCCTTTATTTCAGAACTTCTGGTGGTACAGTGCCTAAGGCATTTGACTGCTAACTGGAAGGTTGGCTTTCAAACCCAACAGCTGCTCTGTGGGAAGAAGATGAGGCAATCTACTTTTGTAAAGATTTACAGCCTTGGAAACCCAGTGGGGGTTGCTGTGAGTCAGAATTGACTCGATGACAGTGAGTTTGGTTTATTTTATTTTTTTGCCCATAAAGAACTTTTGTATATCTTAGAGTCAGGAACCAGGTTGTGCTTATACATACAAGTCATATTCCCTGAATAAGGAGCCTGGGCAGCACAATGGTTAACTGCTTAGCTACTAACCTAAAGGTCTGTAGTTCAAACCCACAAGCAGCTCTGTAGGAGAAAAGACCTGGACGTCTGCTCTGAAATTGAAAGATTTCAGCCTAGGAACTCTATGGGGCAGTTCTGCCTGTCAAAGAGGGTCGCTATGAGTCTCAATCGACTTGATGGCACACGATAACATTTCTTGGATGTGGTGCCATGGTAAAATCAGACTGTAGTAAGCTGCCCTAATCACATGCTTTTTCTATCTCCTTTTCCCAGGCCCTATTCATTGTTTCCCCAGCTCCCATCTGGCAAGCATCCCTGGGGCCTACCACATGAGAAGAATTCAGCTTATAACATTTTGATCAGCTCCGGTATGGAGCAATCTCAATAGAGCAGCCACAGGTGCAAAAATGATGCAAGTTTGTGCATCTGATGACAGACGTCTGGGGCAACCTTAGAACGTTTGGCAAATGGGCTCACCACACGAATGGGCCTCTGGAGTTAATGATTACAGTGAAAGCAGAGGTAAGAATAAAAACAGGAGTACACAGGAAAACAAGAGGACTTTAGTGAAGTTACAAATGAGGTGAAGAGAGGATCCTGACTGGCATGAAGTTCAGGGCCTCTTGTTCCACCTATGAGAAAGTGATTGATTATTTTGGAGGGACTAAACAATGGTAAGAGAAGTCAAGGGAATAAGATTCTGAAATATTCTGGAGATTTGGTGTGAAAAGACGACTTTGAATTACCTAAAGAAGCAAATGGAAAATCAAGGAGTTTTGAGGGGGGTTATTACAGGACTGTTCAAGAGGCTGTAGCTTTATAATATTTATGTCAACTCTATACATATAGGAGCTCTGGTAGCGTATGCCTAAGGCACTTGACTGCTAACCAGAAGGCTGGCGGTCCAAACCCGCCAGCCACTCCTCCGAAGGAAGATGGGGCAATCTACTTCCATAGTGATACTGCCTCGGAAACCCAAGGAGCTTTCGCGATGAGTCGGGTCCACCTCGATGGCAGATAACAATAACAACGACAACATGGATACATATAAGGTGTCTGTAGAAGTTGGACTGATAACTGGGACTAATCAGGTGGGTGGAGCAGAGGGCAGCCAGTGAGATGTAATGCAGCTTTCAGAGGGGCAGAGTCTAGGAAGGTATGCAAATCCTAGGGACACAGAAAGCTAAGAGTTCCCAACAAGGTTGCTGAGTCATCAGGGACAGCACTCAAAGACGGGTCTGGGCAGAGACCTGCCTCTGGAACATTGCTGAGAAGTGAGCTGGGCTTGCAGAAGCTCTGAGATTTGTTTTTAGGTCATCTGATAGCATACTCTGTGATGTTTACCAGATTCAGGGAGATCAGGCCATTGTGAATTTTTTTTTTTTTTTTTTTCTTTTTTTCTGTAGTAAAACTAGCCCCAGCCTGTCAGACTGGGAATTTACTGCATGAGCTGTTTTCCAACATGAGTTTTGCTGGCAAAACCAGATGTGGGTGTTTCCTCGACACTCAAGGGGCCTGTTTACACTGACTTTATTTTTACTGCCAGCTTTCAAGTGGGAAGAGGGAAATTATGCTTAAAGGTCAGCAGGTGAGCAGAAAGATCCCTGTCCTGCTTTTCCTCTAGATACCTATGTGGGCATGTATGTGCATGTGTGTGTGTGTGTGTGTGCGTGCATGCTTTTCCACATGCACATTGTTGTGCCCTGATTTGGTTGACATGACCTGCTCACCTGCTTTTAGGCCTAATGAAGGGTACCAGGCGGGTTATTTGGCAATTTCCTATTTGTTTATTGTAAAGAAAGTAAATCAATCTGTGAGGATTTTCTGGATTGGAGGGCCAGGGTTGTTTACTGTCAACAGGATAAAGACTAGGAGATATAAGATACTGAGCTCAGGGGTGCATCTAGTATGTATCAGGATAAGAGAAGAAAAAGGTGAAGAGCAGGGCATTTCTGTCTTGATGAAACTTTAAATGTTTGGGTAAATAGCAACTGCGGAAATTGCCCTCTGGCCAAAGCACCAGTCATTAGAGCTAAAAGGTAAAATTAAGTTGGACTCAGATTCATTTTCATCTTTTGTTTTTTACCCTTTTTTTTTCCCCCTTACCACAAAAGATGACAAATGATTTCTTGCAGTTTGGAAATGAGACCTTGAGTGAAGAGTTGAGAAGGCAAATCTCTAGGTCACGTCCATGTTTCCAGAGAAGCTTTGCATACAGAGACTGACAGTGCTGGGGAAAGCTACCCAGCAGTGCTGTAATCCCACTGATAAACAAACCAGGAAGTTGTTGCTTGACTCAGAACTGAATGAGAAGCCATGAAATCCCTGACTGCAGCAAACTTAGAAGATTGTCTATTGAAAAAGGTAAGGATATATATACCTGTCTCTCCAGATACCTCTTCCTCACCCCCTGTGCCACTCCCAGTCCCCAACCCCTGATACAAAAGGGATTTAATGCTCCTTTCAAAGATATGTAAGGTGCTCTCATGGTGCTGTGGTTAAAGCATGGTTCAAACCCACCAGCTACACTATGGGAGAAAGATGAGGCAGCCTGCTTCCATGTAGATTTATAGCCTTGGAAAACCTATGGGACTCACTATGAGTCAGAATCAACTTGATAGCAGTTGGTTTGGTTTTTTGGTCCAAAGATGCATAGAATTCTCCTCAGGAACCAAAGACTATCACCCAAAAGACTTAGCTTACTTAGCCCTCTCTTTCAGTTTCTAGTGCCCTGAAACATGCTGGGTGTAGAATGCAGGACAGAATGAGAACTTGGGTTGGCACTCGAGCTCTGTCACTGATATTTGTATGGTAATGAGCAAGTCACAGTCACGTGATCTTTCTTCTCTGTAAAATGAGAGTGATAATAAAGTCATAGCTGGATCACTGAAAAAGAGCTAATGAAATTAAGACAAAGCTTTTAGACTATTAAATGCAAGGTTGTTGTTTGTTTTGTTTTATCTGTTTTTATTGTGATTTGGGTGCACTTTTACAAAGCAGATTCATTTTACATTCAATGGTTCATATACATTTAGTTTCAGGACACTGATTACAATTCTCACAGTGTAACAGCTCTCCTTCCACCTCCCCCATGTGGTTATCCCTACCCTGTGTCCTTACTGATGCATTCCTGCCTGCCCACCTTTCTCCCTGTGCAAATGCTGCCCTTCTAATCTCCCATTGTTGACTGTTCTAAGGAATTTATCTCCCTGGTGCTCATAGGCCTGTCTATTGTTTGGCTGAGAGTTGAGCCGCAGAAGTGAGTCCAGGTCCAGGCCAGAAGGGTGATGGGGCCATAGTCTCAGGGGTTTCACCAGTCTCTGACTAGTAATCCTGGTCTTTTTTATGTTTTTTAATTTTGTTCACATTTTTTTCTCCCATTCTATCCAAGATCTCCAATTTTTATTCCTTTCTGAGTGGGTAGCAATGGCAGCCAGGCACCATCTAGTTCTTCTGGTCTCAGGGTCATGTAGACTGAGGTTCCCATGGTCTACTGGTCCCTTGGACTAGTTGTTTCCATACATCTTTGATTTATTCCCTCTTCTTTGCTCTGGATGAGGAGAAACCAATAGTTGCATCTCAGATGTCTGCTCACAAGCTTTTAAGAGCTCAGTTGTTACTCATCGAAGTAAGATGTAGAACAACGTTTTTGCATACCATGTTGTGCTAATTGAGCTTGACATCCCCCGCAACCCATGGTCCCAATCCCTATAAACTGCGAGATTTAAAAAAAATATATCATTATATCGGTGTATGCTAATTAAGAACTAATTTATTTTCTTCTGTAGGGAATAAATCGTAGGCTCTTAAGGGAATTATTGCTGTTGTTGTTGTTGTTAGGTGCCGTCAAATTGGCTCTGACTCATAGTGACCCCCTGTACAGCAGAATGAAAGTGCCCAGTCCAGTACCATCCTCACAATCTTTGCTATTCTTGGGCCCATCATCACAGTCACCAGAAGGGGCTTTAATATTATCTAATTCAACCCTTTACATTTACAGATGAAGCTACTACTGGACATTTAAAACAAAAATATCTTAATTCCTAAAATTTAGGAACTAGTCGCAGGTTTTCGTGCCTTGGCAGGTCAACAAAGCAGGGGCTATTATCAGTTAAAGTACAATAGATTTCTTAGACAAAACCAATTAAGAGTGATAAATAGGGAAAGTCTATGATGGTCAATGGAGCTCTGGTAGCATGGTGCCTAAGGCACTTGACTGCTAACCAGAAGGCTGGCGGTTCAAACCCACCAGCCACTCCTCGGAAGGAAGGCTGGGCAATCTATTTCGGTAGTGATACCGCCTCAGAAACCCAGGGAGGGGTTGTTATGAGTCGCGTCTGACTCCACGGCAAATAACAACAACAACATGGTAAAAATTGCTATAAACAAGCTGATTTCCTATTATTCGTCCTCTGGGGGTTTCTAAATGGGAAGGGGTTCCGTGGTCTCTTCCCATGCTCCTATATTTTCTAAAAGAAGAGTCCAAATTCTTTAGCCTGGCCTTCAAGTAACTTTATCTTTTTACCTTCTCCTTTCTTTCATTTCCAATGGCAGGAGTTCGAAGCTGTGGCTCACATATTGAATCTAGCCTGTGCTCATGTTTTTTGGCCAGTAGAGTATTTACATTTTTTTTTTTTTTCAAATTTGTACAAACATTTGAAAATGGTGAGATTCATCATAGAAGTCCAGGTATCTATCTTCTCTGGAAAATGATCAGGGTGTCTGGCAACTGCAGGGCCTAATTTCTTGCCCAGCAATCATCACCTGAAGCCACCAGAATCTACATTGTTCCTGTGTCTGAAACCTGCCCTGCCTCTCCCTAAGCTGCCCCTGCAGGTCTTTGAATCTTATACTCCTGCTCAGGGCCCGAGCTACCCCTCCCCTCTATTACAGTACACCTCCTCTCCCCTCACCACTCATCTGGCTCATATTCATCCTTTAAACCAAGCTCAGAATCCACTTTCTCAAGAAAGACTTCCCTGACACCAGCACAAAACATTTTTGCCCTCCTATAAGCTCCTATTATAATGATTAGATAGTGTTCAGTTAGTAATCAATTACTTATTAACTCCTGAACATCTATCCTATTATTCTCTTCCTTGGTGATCTAGTATTACTGTATTTTTTTATAAGCTTCTCGAGAGAAGATACCTTTCTTCCCCATGACATTCACAGAGTGTCTTGCACATATGTGGTCAGGAATATCTATAGGGTTCACTGAAGATAAACCAACAGTAAGGAAGGTACTGGCAGGTCGAGGTGCATACAGTATCTCATTTAATCCAATCCACAACCTGGAGGATGTGTGTGTTTATTACCAGCATTATTACAGAGGAAGAAGCAGAGGCTCCTGAAGATATACATGTCCAGTGTCACCCAGCTACCTAGTGAAGGCATTGAAGTTTCAGCCTAGTTTATTTTATCTCAAAGGCCACATTTCCTCTGCTAAATCCATCTACACGTCCACAGACACTGAGTGCCTGCTTTGTGCCAATCACTGTGCTTTGGTTTAAAGAAGGACCAAGATTTGAGATGTAGCCTGCCAGATGAGAGAGAAATTCTGGGTTTGGAGTAACTCAAGAAGGGCCCTATCCCAGCTGCAGCCTTTGCATATAGTTCTAAAAAGTAAAAGGAAGAATTTCTTGTGTAGACAGGTAACACTTAATATCATACAAGGCACACTATAAGGGCTACAGTAGAGATTGGAACTGCGTGCCAGAGGAGAGCAGAGGAGTGTTAGCTCTGATGGGAGAGGAATTTCACAGAAAGAGGAGTGGAGGCAAAGCCTTACATGATGCATAGGTTTTGCTAAGGGGGGGAAGCACAGGAAAGGCCTTCCAGGCTAATAGAACCCCATCCAAGCAGTTGACATGGGTTTTATTCCCAATCAGCTTGTCTTTTGGGAAGCTGAACAGGTTACAAATGTGGGCTTTGGAATATACTATCTAAGAGTAACTCCCTGATCTGTGACTTACTGAGTCTGGGGCCCTGGGAAAATTACTTAATCCTTATGAACTTCAGTTTCTTCATCTGTAAAACTGAAATAACAGTGTCCATCTTAAAGGATTATTTGGAGGCTCAAATGAGGTGA